GGCCACCGCAGCCTCGACCTGCTGGGCTCCGGTGATCCTTCTGCCTCAGCCTTCTGAGTAGCCGGAATTACAGGTGCGTGCTACCACGCCCGGCGAATATTTTGATTTATTGTAGAGATGAGGTCTCGCCTGCCCAGGCGGGTCTCAAACTCGCGGGCTCAGGCAATCCACTCACCTCAGCCTCCCAAAGGCGCGGGATTACAGGCTGAGCCACCAAGCCTAGCTTGTTTCTTATCTTTTGTTTCAGAGGATCTTTTCATCTATTATTGATTTGTCAGGGGCAAAATTGATTCAGTGAGGATAATGATTTTTCTTTTGAAAAACGAAATATAAGATGATGGTAACTAAATCAGTCTGTTTAACTTTTTTTTTTTTTAAAGACATGGAATCGCGCTATATTGCCCGTGCTGGTGTCGAACTCCTGGACTCAAGCAATCCTTCCACCTCAGCCTCCCAAAGTGTTGGGATTACAAGAGTGAGCCACCATACCCACCCTCGGTTTATTTAACTTTTATTGCATAGGCAAATTGTACACTGTGGATATAAGGAAATCTTTTTCCTTGTAGGCTAATCACAGGGTTAGAAGCCACTAGAGGAGAAACTGAATGATTACTGATTTATTTGTTCATTTGGTATGAACACCTGAAGAGGCCTGGACATGCCTGCCCTTACAGAATGAACGGATATGGGGGTTTGGGGGATCAGTGAACCATAGGTAAAGTCTACAGCTATAGCCTTCCCACCATGTGGACACAGTGAGGCAAGGGATGGGCAAGAGTACTTGGGTAGGAGTGGGTCTCACTTTTTTTTTTTTGAGTTGGAGTCTCACTCTGTCACCCAGGCTGGAGTGCAGTGGCACACTCACCGCCACCCCTGTGTCAACCTGTTGGGCTCCAGAGATTCTTCCACCTCAACCTTCCAAGTATCAAGAACTACAGGCGCATGCTACCATGCCCGGCTAATTTTTTATTTATTGTAGAGACACAGTCTCACCAAGTTGCCCAGTCTGATCTCGAACCCATGGGCTCAAGAAATCCACTCACCTTGGTCTCCCAAAATGCTGGGATTATAGGCTGAGCCACGAAGCCCGGCTGGGTCTCATTTTTTAAACAGAGTAGTCAGGAAGGGCCATCTGAGAAGAGGACACTGGAGCCAAGGTCTATAGGCAGTGAAGGGGTGCAGGAAGAGTGCTCAGCCAGAGGGAAGCAGTGCCTGCATGCATGGGAGCTCCAGGAGACCAGAATTAGGGTCCAGGGGTAAAGTGAGGTTGGACAGACAGGGCTTGCAGATGTCATGAGGAAGGGGCTTTGCTCCAAGTGAAGTGAGAAATTGTTGGGGCTGAGTTCTGCTGGTTGAGGACAGACAGACTAGGGCAGGGAAGCTGGCAAGTGAGCTGATGGCAGTGGCCATGGGTAGGGCTCAGGGGGTGAGAACAGACAGGTTCTGGATATACCAAGAAGGGAGCGGGAAAAGCTTCTGTTAGGTTGGATGGGGGCCTGAGAGAGGCAGATGTTGAGAATGACACCTTTTTGGGGCTAAACCCGTGGAAGGTGATGGGGTGCTATGTGGTTAGATATGCTGTTGTGTGGTATCCCTGGACATCCAGGTGGACAGGTGAGGAAGAGTGGACTTTCCAGAGGGAATGGGAGTCAGACAGGAGGAGGACAGACAGGAGGACAGACAGCCAGGAGGATGACAGGTGCGCAGGAAAGAGGGTGCCAAGAGGGACACTGTGGGAGCAGCTGGTGTTCTTGTTCCTGGGATCAGACTTTTCTTTGTACTTTGTGGTGCTAAAATGCACAAGTTCTAGTCACAAGGGTGCCTTAAGGTCTCCCTACTGGCAGGCACCTCTGAGGCCTGGGGTTCTCACCTGCACGACTTCACTCCCCCATCTGTATTTGGAGCAAAATCCAAGTGTTTCATGATTTGTAGTGTTAGGACAAGTCAATCAATGATTTTATATTCTGATTCCATTAAGGGTTACTCCTATGATCATTATCTTTCATTTTTGCCTTTCAAAGGATAAAAAAATAGAATACATATTTTCAATTATATTTCTGTGCAGTTTCTCTGAGGCTCCCCTCACGTTCAGAAGACTCAGTTGTACAGCTGTGCTCATCACCAGGCACACAGATGAGTCCTGTCTGTGTTGGGTGGCAGAGGGTGCTTAATTGGGCAAGGCAACTGCAGCTTCTTCCTGCCCGTATAGGGTTGGATTCCACCTCCCTCAGAAACTTCCTTCAGGTATCCAAGTCTGTTCAAAGGAGATGATCCTGGCTGGGCTCAGTGGCTCAGCCTATAATCCCAGCACTTTGGGAGGTCGAGGCAAGTGGATTGCCTGAGCCTGCGGGTTCAACACCAGCCCAGGCAACTTGGCAAGACCTCGTCTCTACAATAAATTTTTAAAAATCAGCCTGGCGTGGTAGTGTGAGCCTGTAGTTCCAGCTACTTGGAAGGCTGAGGCAGAAGAATCACCGGAGCCCAGCAGGTTGACACTGGGATGGCTGTGGTGTGCCACTGCACTCCAGCCTGGGCAACAGAGTGACACTCCAACTCAAACAAACAAACAAAAAAAGGAGATGATCCCAAGGAGGGAGGGGTGCAGGAATCCCGTGCTTCTCATTGTGAGTCTGCGAGCAGTTTGTTCTCAGCCTGGACACACCACAGACTTTGCTCTGTATAGGGCAAAGCCAAATAGAATGAAAGGGAAAAACAGACTCGGTATCCTAATAGAAGTGACCACCATGAGCCTTTCCTCTGTTTATGCAAACCCAACAGATCTGGTTCTGGGAGAATCCTGAAAGAAAATTCAGCATGAATGTCTGGCTCTGGCCCATTGACGGTGCCACTGACCTGAGTGTCTCTCCATGACAGTACTGTGTGTCCCTTCCTCATGGACCACCATGTCTTGCCTACTTTCTGACTACTTAAGCTGCCAGGGTTCTTCACTCCATCCTCACGGTCCTCCTCTCACTATGAGCTCTCTTTGTTGCAGGAACTGCTGCAGGAGTTTGAATCCGAAATACAGAAAAAGGAGCATGAATTCCGTCTGCAGGCTGATAACATGAGTAATGTGGTCTTATCCCATGAGCTCAAGGTAACTTGGGACACCTTCAGGTTTATGAGTTTTTCCTCCTCAGCTGTAAGAACTCCCTCTTTTGAGTAGTGAGGTGACTTCTGAATTGTGAACTAGACAGGTCATACAGAGGCCCATGGCAGGGTCTTTGTCACAAAGGGGTGGGAGAGGTTAGTGAGATGCAGGGGAGGCTCTGCTGTGGTGCTCACTGTGGATTCACCCCATTCAGGGGAGCACCAGCCTAAGCTCCTAGTTTAGCTGCCTATGACCTTGAGTAAGCATCCTGCCTCCAAGATAATGCCCAGCCTGTATTGACCAAGACAGTGAGCTTGCTGAAGATTCTCCTGCTGTCGCTTATTCTTTTGTAAGACCTCAGGATGGACCTAGGGGCTGCTCATCTCCCCATATTACAGCAGAGAGAGCCAAGTCTCAGGCCCAGTGGCCTGCCTGAAGCCAGTGAAGTGCTGTGTGGCAGAGTCAGCATGGCGCCCTGCCCCTTGGCACACACACAGCTCTCAGTGCCACCCAGACACTGCCAGGTACAAGGAGCCTGAACATCTCACCCTTAAGACTGGGGATAAGGACTAGTCTGAGGGGCAGAGCAATTGCCGTAGCAGGGGAGGAGGAAGTGGAAGGCAATGCCTGACCTGGCCCTGATGTGTCACTACTGGGTGATGCCCTTCAGGGTTGAACAAGTACCCTCCCCCAGGCCTTCCTGCCTCCCCACAGCAGAGCAGAGCAGGCAGCCCCAAGGACCCTGATGGGTGGTGGGTGGGTGATTAGAGTGGCTGGTAATCCCCAGTCTCATCTCCTGGCACAGACATCGTCCCCCACCAAGCAGTGTCGGCCTGAATCCAGCTGTGCCCCTGTTGGCCCCAGAACTCTCTGTGAATGCCACAGAGGCCCATCCCTCCCTCCCTTGTGAGTCTTCTGACACCCCTGGGAGGCAAAGCTGACCCTGTCAGCTAGAGTCTAGAACTGTCTGGGCCTCAAGCCTGGGACCTCACAGGGACCCTCACAAGGCCCCTTGACGAACTTCTGAGCACTGAGGGAAGGGAGAATGGGTGGACCATGTGGATACCCTGTGCTCCACAGTGGAGTGAATACACCTGTTAGAGTAGGGATGCCCCAGGTGCTGGCTCACTTTTACCTCCATCTGCTGCAATTGTTAATTCAAATACCTGAATGCCTGCTCTGCTCTGTGCTGGGCTTTTTCCTGTCCACATATTGACTGATTTGGGTGCAATGGCCATCATCACCACCCATGTTTTACAGGCAAGGAAATGGAGGCCTACAGAGAGTATGAGCTCAGTGTACAGATGGGGCTTGAGTGGGTCTCTTATAGTGAACCACATTCTTGTATCCCCAGCTTTGCATGTTTGATTTTATTATTTAAATAGTATTCAAATTACGTGCTAGGAAATGAAGTGGAATTAAATTGATCTGCTTGTATACATATGGGGCACCTACTGGGACTGGTACTCTGATTTCAGTGGGATGCAGAGTGCTTTCAAATAGTCTTTGGCTCTCATCTGAGTTTGAACTGTGGGGACATTCTCACTGTTTTAGTGCTTCTTGAATTTTACTTTTTCTTCTCTTTTCTGATCCTAATAAAATGGCAGTCCATACCTCTAATGTTGTGATTTGTTCCAATGATATCCTCATTTTGAATTTTTTTTTATCATCCAAAGGTTAAACTATTGAACAAAGAGCTTGAGGCTCTGAAAGAAGCCGGGGCAAAGGCTTCAGAGTGTCTGGAGAGGGCAGAGACCATGAACTCAGAGCTAGAGATGAAGCTCCAGAGCCAGGCCTGGGAGATGCGGGACCTTGAAGCCATGAAGGATGCCCGGTGCGTGGGTCCTTGTCTCCTCTCAGGGTAGACTCTGTGCCAGTGTTGAAGGATCTTGACTAGGAGTCTGGGCAATCTTGCCTTTTCTGGCTTATTTCAGGCCAGTCTTTGCTTTAGTCTCTTACTGCTTTTTCCACTAAAATTTGTTTCCTTTTAGGATAAAGGACTTAGAGGATAAACTTCACTCTGTGCAGGTAACCAAGAAGAAAGAAGAGGAAATGTTTAAGAGGAAGTAAGTATTTCTGCCTCCTAACATCATTCAGTCTCTGTTGGTTGCCCTAGGAGCAGGAGGTGAACTGGTGCAACTCCTTCGTATGGCCCAGGAAAGGATGCTCCTGGGTCCCGCTCATGGAGGTAGGGGAGGGGGAGAGGGAGGAAGTCTTGAGAACTTACTGCTTTGGGTCTGTGTTTATGCTTTGTTCTGGATTTTCTCAATGATTTTCTGGCTTTGTAGTGTTTTAAAACTTAAACTTTTTAGTGACTAAGTTAAAAGTTAACTTTTAAAACTTAAAAGTTTTACTTACTAATCAATTTATCAGTTTTAGATTGCAGCAACTAATTTTACTTTGGTGATAGCATCGCCTTTTATTTTTAAATTATTGCAGGCAAAAGAGTTTTGTTCTCTTGGATCCCAAATTCCCAAGTTCTAAAGAGCCCTTGTTTTCCTGTTGAAATGATTTTTATAACTTTGTGTGGGTCATGTGATCCTGAGAGACAGCAGCAGGATCTCCATGTGCCTGGCATTGCCGAGTGTCGTGGGACACCTAGGAAGTAGACATACATGGTAGTCCCAAGGCAGTGGCCCTGACAAAGTAGTTGAAGAATCAACCCAGAAGCTGAGGCATAGTGAGGTCAAGATAGCATGGAGTAGAGCAGGCGTTCTGAGAGGATGGGGCCCCAAGGGGGCTTCCTGAAGGAAGTGCTCAGGCTGCAGTGTGAGGCAGAGGCTGATCAGTGAGTTCAGCTGGGAGGAACCCTGACCTGGGAGATTTAGGTGTTGCCTGAGATGATCCGGGCAGCCTCTGTTTTAGCTGCTACCACAGGAGTCATTTCCTTTTTCTTTTCTTAAGAAACATTGTTGTGACTATAATAGTGTGTAATGACAATGAGTGATGTGACTCAAGGGTGACTTTTTTGGCATTTGTTGCCATGATATTTGTTGCAATATGTACAAATTGAGAAATAGAACTTTGAGGAAGCTACCCTTGCTGCTCTTTGCCCTGTAATCAGACCTGCGTTGGGAAGCTGCTTTCTAGCCTGATGTGCAGACCCCACTGGTGGCAGTTGAGAGATGGGTTGTGCCCTTAGCTGGCATGCATCCATACCCAGATAAGGAATCTGAGGCACAATGGGAACATGGAGAACCCAGACAGACACAGAACAGGTGGTGGTGCCAGCACCACTTGCTTGGTGCATTTGTATGGTTATGTAGGAGTTGGACAAACACTGTTTCTCTTTTTGTTTTTTGTTTTTGTTTTTGAGTTGGAGTCTCAATCTGTCGCCCAGGCTGGAGTATTAACAGTCTTGGCTATCACAGCCTTGACCTGCTGGGCTCAGGCAATCCTGCCTCAGCCTTCCAAGTAGCTGGAGCTACAGGCACGCACCACCACATCCAACTAATTTTTTTGATTTATTGTAAAAATAGGTCTTGCCATGTTGCCCAGGCTGGTCTTGAATTCTTGGGCTCGGTCAGTCCTCTCACCTTGGCTTCCCAAAGTGCTGGAACTATAGGTGTGAGCCACCACGCCCGGGTTCTTTGTATGTTTTTAAAATTCATGTCTAGAATTTTTAAAATCATAAATTGAAATACAATTAACTCTTGTGTGTGTGCTAATCCCCCCCCACACAGTAAAAGATTCATATATAACTTGTTGACTAGAAGCCTTACAGATAACATAGTCGATGAACATATATTTTGTATGTTATATATACTAGATACTATATTCTTACAATAAAGTAAGCTAGAGAAAAGAAACTTTAAGGAAATCTTAAGGAAGAGAAATATATTTACTATTCATTAAGTGAAAGTGGATTAGCATAAAGGTCTTTATCCTCATTGTCTTCATGTGGAGTAGGTGGAGGAGGAGGAAGAGGGGTTGGTCTTGCTGTCTCAGGGGTGGCAGAGGCGGAAGAGTTGGAGGAGGTGGGAGGGAAGAAGGAGATGTAGGCACACTTGGTGTAGCTTAACAGAAGTACATCCTAGTTTGTCTGACTTCGTTGCTTTTTAACTTCTCTAAAAATGTTTCCATATGGTGCCGATCCAGCTTTCACCATTTCCTTTCGTTTCTGCGCCGGTATCATCGAAGGGTCTATGTCATGAAAGAAGTCAAAAGCAGTCTTGAATAATTGGAACCCTTCTGCCAGATTGTGTCTAATGTCAGTTTTCTGGCACTGCTTCTTCTCTGTATCTTCTTCCTCATTTTCTGGCACTGGTTCAGAAGCACTCATCTCCATCTGGGCGTCTTCTGTTAATTCCTCTGGTGTGCTGTCTATTAGCTCTTAAATGTCTCCAAGATCCATATCTTGAAATCCTTTACCCTCTACCTTTTTTGCCATATACTCAATTGTTTTCATGATTTCCTTGATTGACTCTATTGTGAATCCTGTGAAGTCATGCACAGTATCTTGACACAGTTTTCTCCAGAAGGAATTTATTATTTTGGGTTTGATAACTTTCATGACTTTTTCTATAACAACTGTGGCATCTTCAATGATGTAATCCTTCCAGACTTTCATGATGTTATCTCTGTCAGGGTTCTCGTCCATGACGTTGACAATCCTTTCCATAGTGTAGTCTGTGTAATGAGCCTTAAAGGTCTTTATGATCTAAAGGCTGAGTTAGAGACACTGTGTTTGGGATCAAGGAGACCACTTTGATGCCTTCGATCTTGAACTAATGAGGTTCTGGGTAGCCAAGGCCAATGTCCAATATCAAAAGAACTTTAAAAAGCAGTCTCTTACTGACAAGGTACTTGCTGACTTCAGGGACAAAGCATCAATGGAACCAATCCAGAAAAAGGGTTCTTGTTGTCTAGGTCTTCTTGTTGTCCAACCAAGAGACTAGAAGCAGAAGTTTACCTTCTTTTTTCAAGGCTCCTTATCTAACTTTATAGATAAGGGTAGTCCTGATCATAAACCCAACTGCATGTGCACAAAACAGTAGAGTTAGCCTATCCCTTCCTGCCTTAAATCCTGGTACTCACTTCTCTTCCTTACTAATAAATGTCCTTGTGGCATTTTTTTTTTCCAGAATAGGGTGCTTTCATCCGCATTAAAAACCTGTTGAGGCAGATACTCTTTTTCCTTCATGATTTTCTTTTATTTATTTATTTGTTTGTTTATTTATTTATTTACTTATTTTTTTGAGTTGGAGTCTCACTCTGTTATCCAGACTGGAGTGCAGTGGCTGCTCCTGGCCACTGCATCCTCGACCTGCTGGGCTCCAGCAATCCTTCTGCCTCAGCCTTCCAAGTAGCTGGAACTACAGGCATGTGCTACCATGCCCAGCTAATTTTTTTGATTTATTATAGAGATGAGGTCTCGCCAAGTTCCCCAGGTGGGTCTCGAATCCTGCGGGCTCAGGCAGTCCACTCACCTCGGCCTCCCAAAGCGCTGGGATTATAGGCTGAGCTACCGAGCCCGGCCTTCATGATTTTCTTAATGGTGTATGGGAATTTGCTGCTTCTTGGTTGGCAGAAGCTGCTTCTCCTGTTATCTTGACACTTTTTAAAGCCAAATGTCTTTCTAAAGTTATTAAACCATCCTTTTCTGGTATTAAATTCTTCACTTTAGATACTTTACCTTCTTTTTGCTTTAAGTTGTCATATAATGACTTTACTTTTTCTCAAATCATACTAGAATGGTAAGTATGCCTTTCTTATAGCAATTCTGCACCCATATAAAAGCTTCCTTTTCAATGTGAGAATAAGGTATTTTGGAAAAAGTGCAAGGTTTTGTGCCTGCTTGCAGTGGCTGCAATGGCTTCATGAATTTCCTTTTTGTTTCTTATAAATGTCTTTACCCTGGATTTATTTATCTTGACATGGCACAACTGCAGCTGTAGACCTCAGTCTGCGGTACATATAAAGTAATTCAACTTTTTCTTGACTTCTCTCTGCTTCATTGAGAGCACTTCCAGCATCACTAGTGGCACTTGGTATGGTTCCTGTGATGTTATTCAAGGTTTACAGTATTGTACTAAACACAGTGAAAAATATGCAAAAACCTTGAGAGATCACTTTATACTGTGATATGCAATTTACTGAGAGAGGAACTGCTCAGGAGGAGATGATTAGCGTCACATGGTGTTTTAAGTGGATGCAGAGTTACAACACTTGAGCTCACTGAATAGCAACAGGAGGTGGCTGTGAAATTATTACGGTAATACAGTATGTGCTGTAGTTAATTTTAGGCAGGAATGGTTTAAAACTGCCTGGTTTTTTTTTGTTGTTGTTTGTCTGTTTGAGTTGTAGTCTAACTTCGTTGCCCAGGCTAGAGTGCAGTGGCACACTCATGGCCACCCCAGTGTCGACCTGCTGGCCTCTGGCAGTCTTTCCACCTCAGCTTTCCAAGTAGCCGGAACTACAGGCATGCGCTACCATGCCTGGATAATTTTATTATTATTATTTATTGTAAAGATGAGGTCTTGCCAAGTTGGCTGGGCTGGTCTTGAACCCTCAAGCTCAGGCAGTGCACTCATCTCAGCCTCTCAAAGTGCTGGGATTACAGGCTGAGCCACCGAGCCTGGCCTTTTTTTTTTTTTTTTTTTTTTTTGAGTTGGCATCTCACTATGTTGCCCAGGCTGGAGTGCAGTGGCGTGCTCACGACTACTGCAGCCTCGAGCTACAGGGCTCAGGCAATCCTTCCGCCTCAACCTTCCAAGTAGCTAGAACTACAGGCATGTGCCACCATGCCCGGCTAATTTTTTTTTATTTATTGTAGAGATGAGATTTCACCAAGTTGCCCAGGCTGGTCTTGAACCCGTGGGCTCAGGCAGTCCTCTCACCTCGGCCTCCCAAACTGCTGGGATTATAGGCATGAGCCACCGTGCCCAGCCTAATACTGCATCTTTATTTTTGTTTACATTTTATTCAATTGTGAAGGGCTCCAAGTATGGTCTGTAAATGTCTATATGTGAAGGTTTTGATAAATTTTAACTTTTATAATAGTTTAATGTATATTTTATGGTAGTAAAAGGTAAAATAGGCTATTATCTACATGTATTTTATGTTTTCATGACATATCTACCTTTTCTTAATTTTGTCAATATTTTAGGCTATATGGTTTGTGAGTTTTTTCAGATTGTCACAACTCTCCAAAATTTTTTCAAATATATTTATTAAAAAATAAATTCACCTGTAAACTGACCTGCGCGGTTCAAATTTGTGTTGTTCAAGGGCCAACTGAATAGGAGCATAATTTCTAGCATTAACAAATAAAACTATCCAACTATTCTAGAAGTGTTTCTAATGTAACATAAATACTATAGTGATTTAATACCCACTACCATTGATTCAGAAAACTGCCTGAACCAGCCTCTCCCCAAGTAGTCAGAAATTTTACATTGTTCTTTTTTCTCCTTGAACTCTTTATTTCCGTTCTACTTCCCCACAGAATTTTATCTGAATATAATGCTTTTTGTGCTTGAAAAAATTTGAAATCAATTACCTGTAACAGCAACATATTCATATAAACTAGAAATAAAATTTGCTGTGGTCACAAGGCTCTAAGTGTTCAGAAATGCTTCTAAGTTATTATGATTATTATTAGCATACATTTTACAAAACAGTATCATTTACTGTAAAATTCAGTAATTACTAAGTAAAATGTACAACATTCTTAGGATGCCTCTTCCACTGAGATAAGTGAGACTTCCCCCATGTCAGCCTGGCTCTCACACCACGATCAGACAGGAGTAGAGTGACTTTTTATTTATTTATTTATTTAATTAATTTATTTTTTTGAGTTGGAGTCTCACTCCGTCGCCCGGACTGGAGTGCAGTGGCCGCTCCTGGCCACCGCAGCCTCGCCTGCTGAGCTCCGGTGATCCCTCCGCCTAGCCTTCCGAGTAGCCGGAATTACAGGCATGCGCTACCACGCCCAGCTGATTTTTTGATTTATTGTAGAGATGAGGTCTCGCTGCCCAGGCGGGTCTCGAACCTGCGGGCTAAGGCAGTCCACTCACCTCAGCCTCCCAAAGGCGTGGGATTACAGGCTGAGCCACCGAGCCCGGCTAGAGTGACTTTTTGTAACAGTATTGCACATGGTCTGAACTTCTTCCAAGTTATATGCCAAAGACCACCTGCTGACCTCTCCTCAAGAATGATTTTAAATTGTCTGTCAGCTAATAATTTAATGAACTTGTCCGACTGGGTAAAAACAGAACTGGCAGTGACCTGCTTTGTCAAAAAGTCTAAAACTCAGTCAGCAGAACCATTCAGTTTCTCATTCCCAGTAGAGTTAGATCAAAGACTTTCCTGAGACTTATTATATGCCTATTGCATATGTCTGAAATTTCTCTACTTAGTAAACCAAATATACTCGGAACGGTGGGAAAACCAAAACATTATAAGTCTTAGTGGCCACTAGCCGGGCTCAGTGGCTCAGCCTGTAATCCTGTGCCTTTGAGAGGCTGAGGTGAGTGGATTGCCTGAGCCCGTGGGCTTGAGACCCACCTGGGCAGCAAGACCTCATCTCTACAATAAATAAAAAAATCAGCCGGGCGTGGTAGCACATGCCTGTAATTCCGGCTACTTGGAAGGCTGAGGTGGAAGGATCACAGGAGCCCAGCAGGTTGAGGCTGCGGTGACCGGGAGCGGCCACTGCACTCCAGTCCGGGCGACAGAGTGAGACTCCAACTCAAAAAAAATAAGTCTTAGTGGCTGGGCTCGGTGGTTCAGCCTGTAATCCCAACACTTTGGGAGGCCGAGGTGAGTGGATTGCCTGAGCCCACGGGTTCAAGACCCATCCGGGCAACTTGGTGAGACTTCATCTCTACAGTAAACAAAAAATTAGCCAAGCGTGGTAGCACACACCTGTAGCTACTTGAAAGGCTGAGGTGGAAGGATCACCAGAGCACAGCAGGTCGAAGCTGTGGTGACCAGGAACGTGCCACTGCACTCTAGTCTGGGCGACAGAGTGAGACTCCAACTCAAAAAAAAAAAAAAGTCTTAGTATACTTTCGCTAACATAATATTTTCAAAATAAAATGCTGGGCACAATGTTGCATTCCTATCGTCCCAGCTACTCAGGAGGTTGAGATAGGAGGATCACTTGAGCCCAGGATTTCAAGGTCAGCTTGGGCAACATTACGAGACTCTGTCTCTAATTTAAAAAATAAACAAGGAAAATACAGTGTTTTAATCTTTTCTCCACTGAAACTTCGAATTTGCAGAGTTAGTTTAAGTATAGAGAATGTGTTCACTAGATCCACCTAAGTGTCAAGAGCCCATTCTTATTATGAAACCAATAGCCCAGTCAGACTTGCTTTGCATAAGAGAGTCTTGCTTCAGATAAGCATAATTGTATGTGTTTGAAGATATATCATGAAAACATTGAGAGTTACAGAACTTACCTTGCCTAACGAATTACTAGTAGCAGTCTGGGTTAAGACAGTTCAGTGCTTAAGTCCTTAGCATATACTTTTACAGCAGTCCCAGTTGTGGAAGACCTAACTGGTTGCCAAAATGCAAGGCAATGTGCTTCTGTATTTTTTTGCTTTCATGGGTAGATCAGGAGTCCTGGTGTTAAAATTGTACTATGTACTTGCTTTTGATGTCTTTCTCTGGGGGACTGTGAGCTCTGGAGGACAGGCCAGGGGTTTGGCATCTAAGAGTGGCCCTGTGCATGTCTACCTATGAGGCATGAAGAGAAAACGAAGCTCTAAGGCAGATCCTGCCCTGCAGAGTGGACGATCTAGTCAGGGACAAATATACAGCAACAACTATAGCACGAGAAAGGGTAATGAGTGCCTTGAAAGAGGTTCTGGGGGCTGGGGATCTGGGCCAGGGGTGAGTGACTGTGGGACCCCTCATTGTGTTTCAGGCAGGAGGAGCTTGACCGCCTGGCCAGGGAGAAGGACGTTGTGCTGGCAGTGGTGAAGGGAGCCCATGGGGAGCAGCTGCGGGCCCTAGAGGCCAGGGTTCTGGAGTTGCAGGCCCACTGTGATACCCTTGAAGTGCAACTGCGCAGGGCTGAGTGGAGGCAGGCAGATGCTGTCAAGGAGAAGGATGCCATCATTGACAAGTGAGTGTGTGTTTTTGGCCGCGCTGACTCCTGGGTGGGCTGACACCATCTAGATCAAGAAGGTGGTATGTGGCAGGTGGAAGTTACTATTGTAGTTCTCTGGTCATTTTTCTTAACCATTATTTTTCCTTTAAAACTGTATAGTGTGTGTGTATGTGTGTTTGGTAAATGCATATATTGCATGTATGTGGTATGTACGCTTGTGCTAAAATGTACATAACAAAATTTTAATCACTTTTTAATACACAGTTCAGTGACATTAAGCACATTCACAGTGTTGTGCAGCCATCACTACTATCCATCTCAAGACTTCTTCTATCTTCCCAAACTGAAGCTCTGTCCCCATTAAACACCAACTCCTTATTCCCCTTTCCCCAGTCCCGGCACCCTCCATTCTACATTTTGTCTCTGTGAATTTGACTACTCTGGGTACCTCCTGTAAATTGGACTCATACAATATTTATCCTTTTGTGTCTGGCTTATTTTACTTAGCACTTGCACTTAGCATAATGTCCTCATGGCTCATCCATGTTGTAGCATGTGTCAGAATTTCATTCCTTTTCTTCCCCAATTTTTAAAATTGTAGTAAAATTAACACAACATAAAATTTACTATCCTAACCATTTTTAAATGTATAGTTCAGTGGTATTAAGTCAGAATTTCCTTCCTTTTTAAGGCTGAATAATATTCCATTGTCTAAATGGATTACATTTTGTTTATCTATCAATCTGTCAATAGACATATAGGTTGTTTCTGCCTTTTGCCTCATGAGTAGTGACTGCTGTAAACCTGGGTGTACAAATATTTCTTTAAGACCATGCTTTCAGTTCTTTTGTGTGTATACCCAGAAATGGGATTGCTGGATCTCCTGGTCTCAAGTGATCCTCGCACACATTGGCCTCTCAAAGTATTGGGATTATAGGTGTGAGCCACTGTGCCCAACTTATGTTTACCTTTTTGGGGAGCTGCATTTTTGCCTTTCAGTAGTCGTACCAGGTTGCATTCCCACCAACAGAGCACAGGGTTCCAATTACTCCATTAACTAGTTTTTTTTATTATGATTATTATTTTAAAATTAGAGACAGTGTCTTGCTCTGTCACCCAGGCTGGAGTGCAGTGGTGCTATTATAGCTCACTGCAGCCTCAAAACCCTAGGTTTAAGTGATCCTCCCACCTCAGCCTCCCAAGTAGCTGAGACTACGCACATGACACCATGTCTGTCTAATTTCTTTATTTTTTTTAGAGATGAAGTCTTGCTATGTCAAATTCCTGGCATAAGCAATGCTTCCACCTTGGCTTCCCATAATGCTGGGATTACAGGTGTGAGCCACCACTCCTGGCCACTGATTTATTTATTTTTATTTTTATTTTTTTAGTTGGAGTCTCACGCTTTCACCCAGACTGGAGTGCAGTGGCACTCCCAGCCACCGCAACCTCGACCTGCTGGGCTCCAGTGATCCTTCCACCTCAACCTTCCAAGTAGTTAGAACTACAGGCGCGCGTTACCACGCCCGGCTAGTTTTTTGATTTATTGTAGAGATGAAGTCTCACCAAGTTGCCCAGGCAGGTCTTGAACCCACGGGCTTAGGCAATCCACTCACCTCAGCCTCCCAAAGCGTGGGATTACAGGCTGAGCCACCAAGCCCGGCTCACTAATTTATTTTGAAACTCAATTTCCTTTCTGGTATCTAAGCCAGGCCAGGACATGGAAGCAGCCCTCTTTCCTTTGTGACTGATATGTAGTGAGAGATGGATACAAGTTAAACCATTGTAGTGACAGTGAAATGCTTAGCATTAAACTCTAGTCTCCTGACTCCCAATAAGGAAGTGACCTTGGAGAAGTTTTATTTACTGAAGATATTTAAGACAAATAAAGTCATTTACTAGTGTTTTCTATGCTTAGCAACTGGCTTTGGGAAATTTTCTCTCTCTTTTTTACAGAGAATATTTTGTCAAATTATATTTCTGTTTTGGGGGGAAATGGCTTTTATTACTATAAAATATCAGGAAATTAAAGTCTTATTCAAGATACCTTCCTTAGATTTACCGTAGAGCCTTGTTGTTTGATCAATTAAATCAAGCAGCAGTGGCTCAAGAAGCTATGGTGTGTGTGAGCACCTGTAGCCTCTGTGCGGTTGGTGTCCAGCAGACCAAGGTGTGTTTCTGTTTCCTGCTTAATGCAGCTGAAGTGATGGTGCCTCACGGAGCCTGTCTGCCTGATCTCAGCCTCCCCTTGAAGCCTTAAACTAAATGTTGCTCTGGATGTCTTTTAGTTTTTTGTCCATAAGTATTCTTTCATCATTGAGGATTATTATTACACATATAGGATATTATTTTGGCAATAGACAACAGATTTCTAGATTCTAAAGTTTGCATCTTTCCTCTTTTACTTCTAGGGAGTTCAATTATCATTCTGATCTCATTATCCTGAGTGTGAGTTAACATTAAATGGCAACCTCATAGTTTGTAATAGCTTTTAGTGTTCTAGCAATTTTGTGCTGGTTTAGAGTTTGAAACTACAAAGAAAACTTGTAGGATTAAGATGGAAGCATTTAGTTTTTATGGTGACTAGTCTACTCCCACTTGTGGTGTTGATGTCTTCTGTGTCTTCGGTAAGAACCAGCAGCCATTCCTGCCTATCTAAGCCTGAGGTTGTACATCTGGGAGACAGCTCAGGAGGACCTGTTTGAATAAGATGTTTCTGTGCCAATGCTGGGAATGGAGGCCGGCCCTCATTTCTAGGCGACTCGTGCTCCAGAGGTAAAAACTACTGCCCAGAGCACCCAGAGGCCATTGATAAGTCTGTTTCTTCAATACCCAAATACTAGAATGGGAAGAGCCAATACATACGTCTGTGTCAGACCAAATTGCCAGAGATGGCTGGAAATGCCAATGCCTTTGATAGTGCCTCTTTTTAGCTCTCTTTAAAAAAATGTGTCCAAGTCAGACTCAGTGGCTCAGCCTGTAATCCTGCGCTTTGGGAGGCTGAGGTGAGTGAATTGCCTGAGCCCGCGGGTTCGAGACCCATCTGGGCAATTTAGCGAGACTTCATCTCTACAATAAATCAAAAAATTAGCTGGGCATGGTAGCACGCGCCTGAAATTCCAGCTACTTGGAAGGCTGAGGCAGAAGGATCGCTGGAGCCTTGCAGGTTGAGGCTGCGGTGGCCAGGAGTGTGCCACTGCACTCCAGTCTGGGCGGCAGAGTGAGACTCCAACTAAAAATAAATAAATAAATAAATTAATTAATTAAATTTTTAAAAAAATTTTAAAATGTATCCAAACACACTGTGGCCTGCTGGACACCAACTGCACAGAGGCTGCAGGTGTTAACATATGTCATAGCTTCTTGAACCACTTTTTTCCATTCTATGTAAAACCAGGCTTGAACCACCAGTGCCAAGTTTAACTGGCCTCTTATGACAAGGGGCGGCCTTGTCATGACAAAGGGCAGCCGGCTCACCCTTTGCTTCTAAATGTCCATCAGTTGAAGTTCATCTGTTATAATGTGATATAATTGCTATTGTATAAGTTTGATTGAATCATTTAGACTGTCTATTAGGAAAACAGGCCTGTAACCAGGCAAATGAGTAGGTGTTATCTTGTTTATGTTAGTAGTATGGCTACCCTAGTTAATTTCTCTAGATATCTTCTCTAAACATTTTTCTTGGGAAATTTATTCAATGTTAAGTCATTCTACCAGAGGGATTCTGCTGTTAAGGATATGTAATGGGTTTTTTTGTTTTTGTAATTGGTTTTTGAGTTGGAGTCTCACTCTGTCGCCCAGACTGGAGTGCAGTGGCATGCTCCTGGCCACCGCAGCCTCGACCTGCTGGACTCCAGTGATCCTTCTGCCTCAGCCTTCCAAGTAGCTGGAACTGCAGGCGCACGCTACCACACCTGGCTAATTTTTGATTTATTGTAGAGACGAGGTCTTGCCAAGTTGCCCTGGTGAGTCTCGAACCTACAGGCTCAGGCAATGTACTTGCTTCGGCCTCCCAAAGTGCTGGGATTACAGGGTGAGCCACGGAGCCTGGCCTGTAATGGGTTCTTAATGGGCTTTGTAAAACCTTATTTTATTATTCTATTATTTTGAAAATATGTGTTGAATATCTTCACATATGAGGTACTGTGCCATGACATGCTTCCCCTTTCTACCCTGAGCACCTGGCACATCACCTGGCATGTTGTAGGTGTTTAGTTAATATCTGAGTTGGGCATGTATGCGTGGATGGGTGGATGGATAGAAGGGCAGGGTGTCTATTTCTTCTTGGGTAGAACCATTTCCTTAATCTAGGCAAGAAAGTTTCAGTTCTGATGTGGCATTCCCTCTGAGAACTGGGCAAGTGTGTTGTGCATATGTGTTGGGGCGGCACTGTGTTAGACAGACCATGAGTGAACCAGTGAGAATTACATCCATATTCACATAGTTTCCCTTTTGTGATTAGGCTTCGTGAAGATGCAACAGCTCTAAAATCTGCCTGGGATGCCCAGATTGCTCAAATATCCAAGGAGATGACATCCAAAGACTTTCAGGTTCACATACTGCAGGAAGAAGAGATGAAGCTCAAGGTGCAGTTGGCTCGATTCCAGCAGGACATTGAAAGGTAACTGTCCCCAAGGCAGATATTTCTATTGAGTGTTTCCTACGGGCAGATGCTGTCATAGGTCCTACAGATTAAAAGCTGAACAGGTCACATCCCTGGCCTCACATTCTTTTGGGGGAGAAAGTACACAAGGAACAGGCAGAATGTCTGGACATGCAAAGGGAGAGATGAGATGAGAAAGTAAGCGGGAAGGAATGGTAAAGGTGTACAGGCAGAGGCCTTTTAGAGGGACAATGTTTCTCAATCTGTAATAAGAGAGGTGCTTTGATCTTATGTTAAGAACTGCCTTTTTCTGTCTTCTTTCTGATTGTTAATGTCTTAGTGTTTATTTTAATCAGTTGGAATAAACACTTACTTGAATAAAGATAACATTCTGTTTCCCACATATATTAAAATCAACCTTATTGAAGATAATTTTAATACAATAAAACACACCCGTTTTAACTATACACTCAATGAGTCTTGATATATGTACACACTGTATAACCACTACTACAGGCAAGCTATGGAACCTTTCTTTTACCTCACATTTCCCTCCTGCCTGTCTGCAGTCTGGCCCAGGACCTAGCACCTGACCTGCTTTTGTCACTGCACATAAGTTTTGCTGCACCTAGAATTTCAACTGAATGAAATCGTAGTGTTTTTTGGTGTGTGTCTGGCTTCTTTGACTTAACATAATAATTTTGACATTAATACATGTTGCAAGTATCAGTAGATTGCTCTTTTATATTGTTCAGTAGTATTCTATTGTTTGAGTATACTAGTTTATTTCAGACTTTCTATTCTTTTGCTTTAATCTTTTAAAAATTTTTATTATTTTATTTTCTTCAATTTTTTTTTTCATAGAAACAAAGTCTCACTATGTATGCCCAGGCTGGTCTCAAAAACCTGGCCTCAAGCCATATTCCCACCTTGGCCTCCCAAATGCTGGAATTATAGGCTTAAGCCATCGTGTCTGACTTCAGATTTTCTACTTTTTCTGTGTCAACTTTGGTAATTTGTGTCTTTCATTGAGTGTATCGAATTGTTAACTTTAGTCATAAAATTATTTATAGTACTTCTTTATTGCACTATTAGTGTGTGTAAAGTAGTGAGGTCCCTCTTTCATTCCCCTTTCTTTTTAATTAACTAATTAGTTAACTAATTAATTGTAATTTTTTTAGTTGGAGTCTCACTCTGCTGCCTAGACTGGAGTGCAGTGGCATGTTCACGGCCACTGCAGCCTCGACCTCCTGGGTTCGGGCGATCCTTCCGCCTCAGCCTTCCAAGTAGCTGGAACTACAGGTATGCGCCACCATGCCCAGCTAATTTTTTTTATTTTTTTATTTTAAAAATGAGGTCTCGCCAAGTTGCCCAGGCTGGTCTCGAACCCTGGGCTCAGGCAATCCTCCACCTCCCAAAGTGCTGGGATTACAGGTGTAAGCTACCATGCCTGCCCCCCTGCTTTTTTTTTACAGACAGGGTCTTACTCTGCTGACTAGGCTGAGTAGAGTGGTACTGCAGACGCAAACTCTTGGCCTTAAGTGATCCTCCTGGCTCAGCCTCTTGAGTAGCTAGGACTACAGGTGTGTACCACTATGCCCGGCTAATTTTTTTTGTTTTAGTGAGTTGGAGTGAGTGAGTTGGAGTCTCACTCTGTCGCCCAGGCTAGAGTGCCATGGCACTCTCACAGCCACTCCAGCATCGACCTGCTGGGCTCGAGCCCAGTGATCCTTCCGCCTCAGCCTTCCAAGTAACCGGAACTGCAGGCACGCACTACCACACCCAGCTAATTTTTTATTTATTACAGAGATGAGTCTTGTCTCAAACCCGCAGGATCAGGCAATCCAGTCGCCTTGGCCTCCCAAAGTGTTGGGATTACAGGCTGAGCCACTGAGCCTGGCCAATTTTTAAAAAAATTTTTTGTAGAGACAGGATCCAGCTATGTTTCCTAAGTTAGTCTTGAACTCCTGGCCTCAAGTAATCCTCCTGCATTGCCTCCCAAAGTGCTTGGACTATAGTCATGAACCACTGCACTAGGCCCTATCTTTTATTCTTGGTATTGGTAGTTTGCATTTTCTCTTTATTTTTATTAAAATAATTTTTGTTTTGAGTTGGAGTCTTATTCTGTCACCTAGACTATTGGAGTGTAGTGGCATGCTCATGACCACCACAGTCCTGACCTGCTGGGCTCAGGCAATCCTTCCACCTCAGCCTTCCAAGTAGCTGGAGCAACAAGCACACACCACCACATCTGCCTAATTTTTTTAGTCTTTGATTTATTGTAGAGATGAGGTCTTGCTAAGTTGCCCAGGCTGGTCTCAAACCCTTGGGCTCAAGCAGTCCTCTCATCTCCACCTCCCAAAGTGCTGAGATTACAGGCGTAGCCATGGCGCCCTGCCTCTTTTTTTTTTTCCCCTTAATCAGCGTAGAAGCTTATCAGCCTAGCTACAGGTTTATAAATTTTTATTAATTATTTTAAAGAACCAGCTTTTGGCTTTACTGAGTTTTTTCAATTGTTTTTCTGTTTCTAATTTTATTGATATTTATTGTCTATTATTTTCTTCCTTTTTTTCCTTTGGCTTTAATTTGTTGTTCTTTTGATGGTTTCTAATGGTGGAAGCTTAGATTATTAATTCTGGATCACTTCTCTTTTCTACTAAAAGCAATTAGTGCTATAAATTGCCTTTCAAGCACAGCTTAACTGCATCCCACAAATTCTAATAATATAGTTAGATACTATAATATAGTTAATGCAGTTAAAATATTTTCTAATTTCCCTTGGGATTTTTTCTTTGATCCAAGGGTTATTTAGAAATATGTTGCTTAAGTCCGGATACAGTAACTCATGCCTGTAATCGCAGCACTTTGGGAGGGAGAGGCAAGAGGACTGCCTGAGCCCAGGGGTTCGAGGTCAATCTGGCCAACTTGGCAAGGTTTCATCTCTACAATTAAAAAAAAAAACTGGCCAGGTGCGGTGACTCAAGACTGTAATCCCAGCACTTTGGTAGGCTGAGGTGAGAGGACTGCCTGAGCCCACAGGTTCAAGAACAGCCTGGGCAACATGGTGAGAGCTCATCTCTACAATAAATCAAAAAACTAGCCGGGCATGTTAGCATGCACCTGTAGTTCCAGTTACTTGGAAGGCTGAGGGGGAAGGATTGCCTGAGCCCAGCAGGTCGATCTGGGGTGCCTTTGAGCATGCCATTGTACTCCAGACTGGGCAACAGAGTGAGACTCCAACTCAAAAAAAAAAAAAAAAAAAAA